ATATAATATCCGCGATAATCATGATATAAATATAACAGTTGACTTGCGAAGCATGTTTTATGAGTTAAATCGATACAATATCAATAAAATCTATACAAAATCACTTTCCAAAACGAAATTATATTGCTATTGACATGCGATGATGCTAATATGCAGTCTATGCGCAACAAGATATTAGATAATAGACTTAACAAGCGAGGTCTATGCGCGACAACCTGTTGTTCTTCAACATATCCGAACACGAGAAGGAGAATACAACGGAAATCATACATGATCTCTTAGAGCAAAAGATAGAAATCATTCATTACTTCAAATCGAAGACGCACGTAAGCGTAAGCATGTCAAGATTGACCGATCTCATCGAATTGGCCGTAACGGAGAAGGCAAGAGCTGCTTCCCTGAATTGAAGAAGGCAAGAGCTGCGGGAAAACAATCAAGAATTGTTAAGGATAAATTGATTATTGTAATTGAAGGGCAAGTTTTTAATAATAATAATACACGTTAATACAAACACTCACTTAATCTCGCACTTAATACTATGTCATGTATATTGCGGTGTGTTTTGAAAATCTAATTTAACATTGGACAAAACTACTTTCTAAATGGCTACTCGTAAAAATAAGTACAAGAAAAAATGCTATTCCTGCTTCAAAATAATTCAAGAAACACAAAAATATATTGAATGTCTCACATGTGAAAAATTGTTTCACGCTGTGTCTGCTTGCGCAAAGTCATTTGACTCCAATACAAATAACACGATTGACATGTGTCAAAATTGCTTATCTGATACTACCACACACTTACCGTTTTAAACGAAAAAATATCAGTGAAAACGATATGGTTAGGCTAAGGCATTTGAAATTTAACCCTTTCGACACTCGTTTTAATAATATTGCCTATAAATCTGAAATGAGAAAAGGCGAAATTTCAAAGTTTATATTTTCTCCTGCTTATGCATACAGAGAGATGGGCTGCCCGCCAAGAATTCCTCCAGATACTAGTGTGTTATTTGATATTGGGTGGAGGCACTGGCATTATGTTTAATACCAATTTTAAGTGTGTTATTTGATATTGGGTGGAGGCACTGGCATTATGTTTAATACCAAATTTAACAGAATGGGTGGAGGCACTGGCATTATGTTTAATACCAATTTTAAAGTTACTTTAATTGACGGAGGTGAAAAACGATCTTTTGAATACTCTGAATGGAACTTGGCTTTACTCAACCGTGCGATTAAAACATTAGCAGTCTATCGTCCACCTTATTCACAAACTCACCCTGTTTCTTCAAGCGTTTTCTTCGAAGAATTCTCCAACTTACTTGAGAGCATTGTTATGTGCACAGAAATATTAGTAATCTCCGGTGACTTTAATTTCCATCTCGATGATCCGTCTGATACTGACGCGAAAACATTTACTCATTTATTGGAAACTTTTGGCTTATTACAACATGTTACTGTACCAACTCACTCGTCTGGGCATACCCTGGATCTTCTAATTTCGAGATCGTCCAATGACATTAATATTCACCTAGTCAAGACTACTTTCTTTTTGTCAGATCATTGTTTTGTTGAATGCAACCTCTCTTTTCCTCGCCCGAATCTTGTGACAAAGGAAATTCAGTTTCGTAAGACAAATCATTTGAATCTTCAGGCCTTCAAAGCTGACATCGCTGATTCCAAGCTGTGTAATGACCCATGCTCCAATCTAGATGATTTGGTGAAACATTATGATAATACGCTATCACATATTTTGGAGAAACATGCCCCTTTACAAAGAAAGATAGTGGTTGTCAGACCAAGAGTACCATGGTTCAGTGAAGAACTTAAACGTATTAAGGCCAAACGCAGAAAACTGGAGAAAGTAATGAGCGGTTATGCAGTGGTGATGTTCTTGGTGTGATTGACCCTGTGGACATGTCATCATTTGAACATGAGGAATTCAAGAAACAGCTTATACAAAACCATGCAAGATGGATTTTATGAAACAAGATTACCGTGGAAGGTCGGACACGTACCGTTGCCAGAGAACAAGAATCAGTCAACAGCTAGACTGTACAGTGTTACACGAAAGCTCGAAAGGATTGGAAAATTGAAAGAATATGATGACGTTATGCAAGATCACTTGGGAAAAGGTGTGATTGAGCCAGTTCCAGTACAACCAACAGGGGCGATTGTGCACTATTTTCCGCATCAACCGGTTATTAGAGAGCAAGCACAATCGACGAAAATGCGCATTGTTTATGATTGTTCTCCACCCATCCCATCTTTGAATGACTGCTTGGAAACCGGACCTTCTTTGCAGCCTCTTCTATTCGATATCCTTCTCTGCAACCGTTTTCGAAGATATTGCATCACAGGAGATATGGTAAAAGCATTTCTTCAAATTATTGTTCAAGAATGTGATCGTGACGCCCAAGTTAATCGCTGCTATGACCCTGGCGAAGCTGCAGAGTAATGTGCTAGAGCGTTGGAAGTACAGCCTATTCGATCCGTACACCATTGGGTGGATAGCCTGACGGTTGTCTATTGGCTCGCAAACAAGGGTACCTGGTCAGCTTTCGTGAGAAATCGGGTCAAGAAGATAAAGGAGGCTTGGAGATGCAGATTGGCGTTATGTTCCGACTAACAGCAACCCAAACGATCTGGGCACAAGGGAAGCAGCGCCAGACAAGCTCGGGGATCTGTGGTACAAGGGACCGGATTGGCTGCAAAAGTATAACAAGTGGCCAGAACAACCGGAGATCAATGAGACAACTGATGTCACACAGGGGTTGGCCATGAAGCGGACACTGGCTAAACAGGGGGTCGAACGTGATTTGGAGATGATCAACAACATGTTGGCGAAGTTTACTTACCGCAGACTTTTACGAGTGACAGCATACATGCTGCGGTTCGTTAGAAATGCGAGAAACGAGAAATTAGATGGTCCATTAACCACCGAAGAAGTCGAAAGAGCTGAACATATATGGTTGAAGATTGGTCAGGAAACGTTGAAGGACGACGGGGGCTTTACTCTCCGCACAGAGGAAAACGGACTTTTGAGAATGGACGTACGAGTTATTGGATACAATCCGATATTTATCCCTAGAAATTGCACCTTAGACCGACTGCTAGTGCGCGATATTCACGAGGGAACAGGTCACGGGGGAGTAAGCTCAACCATTGCCACAACACGAGAGAGGTTCTGGATACCAAGGCTGCGGAAATTGGCGAAGAGTGTCGTCAATGGTTGCAATACGTGCAAAAAAGCTCGACCGAAGGACTGAATCCACCAACGACCGCACCATTGCCGACCTTCAGAACTGAAATGACAGAGCCGTTTGCTGTGACAGGAGTGGACTTCGCTGGTCCACTGCTTTATCGAGCAAATAAGAAATCTACACGAAAGGCGTACGTAGCACTCTACACGTGTGCCACTACAAGAGCAGTTCACCTGAAGCTGAGTAAAAAAGCATGGAGGCAGACGAGTTTAAGAGAGGATTGAAAGAGTTCGTTGCCAGACGAGGGACACCAGACAAGATTGTAAGCGAGAATGCCCAAACCTTCAAAGCGACGAAGCAGTGGCTCGAATTGCTTACAAAGGACACGAATTTGTTCAACTACCTAACGGCGCAACGGATTACTTGGCAATTCAATTTGTCTAGAGCCCCCTGGTGGGGTGGTTTCTTGAGGGTCCTGAAGGGGGGTCCCAATCCCATTTCGCACCTGAAATTTTGGCAAAATCCCAGTCCCAGTTGGATTTTTATTAGAAATCCCAGTCCCAGTTATTGAAATCCCAGTCAATAAAAAACCCTTTATTTATCGGTAGAATAAACGGTTTTAAGACCTTTTTTATACATATATATATATATATATATATATATATATATATATATATATATATATATATATATATATATATATATATATATATATATATATATATATATATATATATATATATATATATATATATATATATATATATATATATATATATATATATATATATATATATATATATATAATTATATAATATGTCCTTTGACAAGGAAGTAAATCACTTAAGTAACTATAGGACTACAATTATTTACAATTTTATAATATAAATTAAGTTTGTGCATTTTCCTTCTATAGTTGACATGCTTTCCCACCCTACTTTTTTCATGAGATGATACTTGCTTTTTCCTTTCATAGTCCCTGTTACGAGTTTCGCTGCCTCATACTGAACATGTTCAAGAAGATCGCTTTCACTTTCACTTTTAATGCAACCGTCACTATATTTCCGTGCGTGTATACGTACGTATAGAAACCGCGACGGTGGAAATCAGTCTTAAAAAGTACATAAACAGCTATAGTTAACACCAATCCTCCCTGAAACGGATTGTCCCAGAGCCTCACGTTCCTTCTCGAGGATCGCAGACTCGGGGAACGAGATTGAAGTTAACCCCTCCCTCGTGCATGAACTGTGGTCACGTCTGTCTGTCTGCAACATTCCTTTTTAATCAATTAAACTCCACGGAGATGAAACAGCGTCACAGCATTATTCGAGGAATTTTCGATTAAACTAATTGTTGAATAAACATTTTCACGTCTTCATGCTGAAATAGAGCTGAAATAGAGCTCTAGAGCTAAATTTCTTCTCGAAACTTTCTTTCGAGTATATGCCCTTTATATGAAAGTTGGTAATTCCAGACGAAGGTCTGTGCTCGAAACGAAGCTTTCTTCACTCAGTCTGCTACATTTCTTCACCATGCTACAGTACTCAGTTGGATTTCAATAATGTAAGCGAGAACGCTATACCGCGCATTAAAACCTGGATATGAACGATTGTATAGTTAAAATTAAGTTGATCATTAAAAAGAAAACAATATTGAATTGATGAGAAAAGTAAATGCATTTAAACCGCCTTGATCTTGATAAATGATGGATTTGGCACCAACTCAGTTTCCTGAATCACTTACGTTTCCAGACTGTCAGTCACCAAAGAAAATTTCTGTTCGTGACATAAATCAGTCCGATTAAAATCAACAAGCACCCAGAAGAGTTAAATTTACAAAATTGTATAATATAAAGCACAAAGTAATTTTGGGGTACGAAAAGTAGCTAATAATATGAAAAACTTCTTGTCATATATGCCTAACCAAATTCGTATTCAGTTAGGTAACGGTTCAGCGCATGCAAACTGATTCGACTGCGTACAATTCAAACGTCGAATTTAATTGTTAGATGTGAGCAGTATCCGGCTTAATGTTCTCATAAAGTTGTCCTTAAATTGTCTCCCCCTATAGTTTTTATATATTTTGTATTCTGTATGAGAGTTTTATATGCATCGTGAAGTTTCAATATAGAAAATACCTTCACTGCAGGAACCGCGTCATGTTCGAGGATCAATTAACTATTAACAATTAGCGGATGTGACTGATATAAAGACTTTAGGTTCTCATACCTTCAACGCAACACTCTCTTTTGCAGATTAACTGTACAGTCCTCAGTTTCTTCCAAATCAATGTATCTACGACAAAAAATTCAGTAAATAAATAAAAATTGTAAATAAGGTCGCCAAAACACTCATATAAATTATTAAATTCCACTAAGTCACGACATTTATAAGAACATGGGCTTATAAGACTGTCCCACCATAAGACGCCACTTTTTAGAATTTAGCCATTTATACGAGTGCTTTACATAAGTTGAGTTTAAGCGGTTATAAGAATTGCGACTTATTTTCTGCCGTCATACTTACCCAGTATTATTAATTCCAACCGTATATTAATCTCGAAATCAATATCAAGTGATGGATGAATGCGCTGTATACAATAGATGCATGCATGCATATGTGAATTACCATATACGAAAAGAACGCTTGTCTCGAGTAGGTAATTTTAATGGCTATAGATTTATAGCTTTTAGATACTTGTATGACTTAGTGTGTTTTTGTTAAGGAATTTATTAATCATATAAAATTTAGAAAGACTTAAACTTACAATACTTCCGTGCATGTATATACGTATACGTAAAAAAACCGCGACGGTAGAAATCAGAAAATCTCAGAAAAAGAAATCAAACATATTGCTAAAATTTGAATGCCTTTTCAATTGCACATATGCTCAACCGTGGTGCGTGAAATATTATGGATGAAGTGCATATATTAGGAAAAGGAGACCTTTAGAAATCAACCATTGTTATAATTTGAATCCTGGAGCACTTGGCTAAGCCCACGAGTGCGTAACATGCGATCTACGTACAGTATGCATGGCAGATTGTTCCCAGGAGCAGACAATCTTTTGTTTAAACGTTATTTCAATTTCTAAAGGTCTCCTTTTTCTAATATATGCACCCCATCAATATTTCACGCACTACGGTTCAGCATATGTGCAATTGAAAAGGCATTCAAATTTTAACAATATGGTTGATTTCTAAAGGTCTCCTTTTTTTTTATACACCCTGTAGTTCACCCCTCCCTCGTGCATGAACTGTGGTCACGTCTGCCTGTCTGCAACATTCCTTTTTAATCAATTAAACTCCACGTAGATGAAACAGCGTCACAGCATTATTCGAGGAATTTTCGATTAAACTAATTGTTGAATAAACATTTTCACGTCTTCATGCTGAAATACTTTACTCTAGAGCTAAATTTCTTCTCGAAACTCTCTTTCGAGCATATGCCCTTTACATGGAAGTTGGTTATTCCAGACGAAGGTCTGTGCTCGAAACGAAGCTTTCTTCACTCAGTCTGCTACATTTCTTCACCATGCTACAGTACTCAGTTGGATTTCAATAATGTAAGCGAGAACGCTATACCGCGCATTAAAACCTGGATATGAACGATTGTATAGTTAAAATTAAGTTGATCATTAAAAAGAAAACAGTATTGAATTGATGAGAAAAGTAAATGCATTTAAACCGCCTTGATCTTGATAAATGATGGATTTGGCACCAACTCAGTTTCCTGAATCACTTACGTTTCCAGACTGTCAGTGACCAAAGAAAATTTCTGTTCGTGACATAAATCAGTCCGATTAAAATCAACAAGCACCCAGAAAAGTTAAATTTACAAAATTGTATAATATAAAGCACAGGGTAATCTTGGTATACGTAAAGCTATTAATATAACGAGCTTCTTAGTCATATGCCTAACCAAATTCGTATTCAGTTAGGTAACGGTTCAGCGCATGCAAACTGATTCGACTGCGTACAATTCAAACGTCGAATTTAATTGTTAGATGTGAACAGTATCCGGCTTAATGTTCTCATAAAGTTGTCCTTAAATTGTCTGCTGCTATAGTTTTTATATATTTTGTATTCTGAATGAGAGTTTTATGCACCGTGAAGTTTCAATATAGAAAATATCCTCACTGCAGGAACCGCATCACGTTCGAGATCAACTATTAACAATTAGCGGATGTGACTGATATAAAGACTTAATTTAGGTTCTCATACCCTCAACGCAACACTCTCTTTTGCAGATTAACTGTACAGTCCTCAGTTTTTCCTCAAATCAGCGTATCTACGACAACAAATCAATGATTGAGTAAACACCAAAGTGTGAGAAAATCTTGTACTTTAATTCCTCCTGCCTGACGTCATTATGTTTTAATAAATTTTCATTGTAAATAAGGTCACGAAAACACTCATATAAATTATTATAAAATTCTACTGCGTCGCGAAATTTATGAGAACAGGGGCTTATATAAGACTGTTCTACAACAACACTCTTTAGAATTTAGCCATTTATACGAGTACTTGCGGGACTAACATAAGTTATGTCTAAGTTATGGAGAATTGCGACTTATTTTCTGCCGTATAAGCGTCGTTCTATACATATACATGACAAATCTACCTCATTCTTACCCAGTAATTCCAAAAAATCCAACCATATAATATTGAACGACTGAAATGTTGTGATAATCTTGCACCCCTATTAAACAAGAATGAATTTCGTTTTCGACCAATCAATGCATTTGTTGATATTTTCCCTCTAAGCCAATCAGAATGCGTAATTGGTTACTACTTCCGGTAAAAACACACATTTGAACAGAAAATATGGGATCTTAAATAAAGCTTCGAGGGGGTCAGGATTTTAAATTTTTTTATTGGATTTAACGTAACAAGGTAAAATAAGAAATTTCCAAATATTTGGCGTTTGGCGTTTTATTGCCTAGTTTTAAACTTATCGGCATTCGAACAGCGGCGTATAAAAGGCGCGTACCGTATTTACTCGTTTGAGCGCCGCGGCGCTCTTTAAATTTTCATAGCTTCAGATGCGGCGCTCATTCGAGGGCGGCGCTTAATCGGGGGCGGCGCTCTTTAAAAAATATTTTATTTGTGAATTATATGAAGAACTTTTAACAATAAAATAAACAAGTTTTGAATGTCTTTGTCACTAAATGCCCCCAAATTGACGGCGGAAAATTATTACACTGTTTAGTGCGGCGCTCATTCGGGGGCGGCGCTCTTTAAAAAAATTTGATCTCAAATGCGGCGCTTATTCGGGGGCGGCGC